TGAAGCCTAAAATCGTTGATGACACTTTGAGAGATGAGAGAAGCTCCTCTATTCGCAGCCGCAACTTCCACAACCATTTTCCATTCCAAACCACTCACCAAAAGCCTTTGAAGTTCTTGAGCCTGATACCTAAAGGAAGGCCAAGCTTTAGGCCTATTCACAATTCCAACCAAAGTCGTCTCTTGAAAGGCAAACAAAACCCGGTAAAATCTGTGGTCTTTCATACTTTCAATCCCCCACAGAAGTGACAAAAAGGCAGCCTCAAAAGCATCCTTGACATTAACAAAAGATCTTCTGCCATGTATCAGAACCAAACCCTCATTATCTCTTACCACCCAAGCTGCACCCGCCAACTTAGTAGTTTTTGACCAAGAAGAGCCAACATTACATTTAAGCCAATCAGGGGCAGGAGGCTGCCACGCTTTCCTTTCCCCTCCACTACTCTGACTGGCCTGATTCACATCAAAATTCTCTCCAACCAAGACCTCCTCCGGTTCCACAACTTGAGCCTCACACCATTCCATAAAATCATCTCTGCTTTTGAGCACCAACTCAGGGGCTGACAAAGACTTACCCTCAAAAGCCAAAGCATTTCTGTTAGTCCATAATCTCCAAAGTATCCAAGGAAAGATCTTTCTAACCTCCTCTGGCCAAGCTCTGTTTTTCCTGTTTACTAAAAGATGATGAAAATTGGAGAAAATCTCACCACTCTCAAAACCCTGTAAAGGAAAGGGATAATCAGAAATGGCCCAGACTTGTCTTGCAAAAGGACAAGAAAACAAGACATGCCCACAAGTCTCCTCTTCCAAACCACAGAGTTGGCATAGTGGGTCCCTCCTCATTCCTCTGCCAATGAAAGCCATTGCCACTGGTAAGCAGCCCGATAACACCTTCCACATGAAAACCTGAAGCTTTGGATCCGTAGGAATCTCCCAAATCTGACATTTCAAATCGTTTGTTGAAGGTAAAGCAGAGGCATTCAGAGTTACCTCATCAACAGAATCTTTGGAAGAGAGCCAATATGCTGACTTGACAGAGAAATCCCCGGATTTATTGTACTTCCAAGTATAAAAGTCATCTCTGGAAGAAACAGGTCTTATCTTCTTTATTCTTTCAATATCCTCCTCAAAGAAGTGATCAACAAGAGCCTCAAAATCCCAGGTCCGAGAGATAGGGTCAATGAGAGAATTCACCTTTAGGCATACATCAAAGAAATAGTTTTTCCTCATAGGAGCTCTCATTCCTTCATCTTCATCCTCAATCCATGGATCAATCCAGACATTAACAGAAGAGCCATTGCCAATGTGTTTTGATATCCCTTTCTCTAGCAACTCTCTCCCATGTAAAATACTCCTCCAAGCAAAGGAAGGTCTGCCATCCACAGGAGCATTCAGAAATTCCTTTGTAGGAAAATACCTGCTTTTCATCAGCTTGGCCAGGAGACAATCAGGTTCTTGCAGAATTCTCCAAGCTTGTTTGGCAAGTAGAGCTTGGTTGAATCTCTTGATATCTCTGAAACCAAGTCCTCCAAGATGTTTTGGAAGGCAAAGTTTCTCCCAGCTAACCCAATGCACTTTCCTAGAATGCTCTTCAGCGCTCCACCAAAAATCTGCCATTGCAGCAGCCAAATTATCACAGGAAGTCTTAGGTAACTTGAAACAAGACATCGCAAATACTGGCATAGCCAATGCAACAGACTTCAACAGGACTTCTTTCCCACCCTGAGAAAGGTGCCTAGCAAACCAACCAGACAGCTTTACCTTCAGCCTGTCTTTAATGTAATCAAGTAGAGCAATTTTTGAGCCACTGAAGCATTCTGGTAGGCCAAGATACGTACCAGCACCACCCTCTTTGAATATTCCCAATCTGATCTGAATATCAATTTTAACCACATGGTTTACCTTTGCTCCAAAGGTAATGGAGGATTTATTCAGGTTGATTGACTGGCCTGTAGCATCACCATAGACTGAAAGAATCTGCTGCAAAACCCTGCTCTGGTCATTGTCTGCCTTACACATGAATAGGCTGTCATCAGCGAAGAGTAAATGGTGCACTTCAGGTCCCTCATCACTGAATTTAATACCTTCAATCTTTCCTTCCTGTTGAGCTTTATTCATCAAATGAGTCAGTCCCTCTGTGCATAAAACAAAAAGGAAAGGAGATAAAGGATCCCCTTGTCGCAAACCTCTCTGTGGAGTAATGAGACCAAAAGGCTGGTCATTTATCAACACCGAGTACCTTAAGTCATTGTATAATTGAAGTTATACACAATATTAAACGACGTAATTTGCCGTGTTTTTGTAGCGAAATTAATATATATATATATATATATATATATATATATATATATATATATATATATATATATATATATATATATCATATGTAGTCTTTTTTGAACCAATTGCATTCAGATTTTCTTACAAATTTAAAACGAACAAAATTGTATCTAATTAATAGCAATTTTTAGATGCAAAAACTAATTTTAAAAACTGAACAAGTGTTTTAGATGTTGAATTTGAATATATACACATATATATAAGTCGTTGGAAAATTGAAATGATGATCAAGTGTTGAAAAACTCCCGACTCAAACAAGTTGGTAGTAGAATATTATTATTTATTATTATTCGTATTAACTAGGAATTGACCCGCGGTACACCGCGGGACTATATTTTTATTTAAAAAAATAATATATGTTTGTTTGAGAAAAATCAATATAGGTTTTAAATATAATAAGTCTTTATATAACCTATTTACATGTGTGATTAGAATGTATATAGAAATCTATATAGTGTTAATTGTACGATTAGTATGTTGTATATTTGAATATTTATAATAATAATAAAAAAAGATTACTATTTAGTAGGCGACGATGTACCACGACGTGTGCAAATAACGTATCATCTTATTGTGTTTGTTGTATATTTAAATATTGAGTTGCATTTGTTTTGTTAATATTGTTTGTTTTGTTTAGTATTTAAGAGGGTTTTGTGCAAAAAAACCCTCGAAGTCGCCAATTTTTGCAACTTTACCCTCCACCTCTAAAAAATGCAGAATAATCCTATGAAGTCCAAAATAATAAGCAATCTAACCCTTTTTCGTTATTGTCAAGTTTTTAAAATTGTGAATAATAATATATCAAATCGAAGCCCTCGAGACGACGAGTGCAATTCTACATTTATAATTTTAAAAATCAAATGTATGTGATCGTGAAAACGTTTAAAATATATACATAAGGGCTATATTGCCTATTATTTTAGACTTCATAGGATTATTCTGCATTTTTCGGAGGTGGAGGGTAAAGTTGCAAAAATTGGCAACTTTGAGGGTTTTTTTGCACAAAACCCTATTTAAGATTGTATTACTGTATTTTGATTGTTAATTCTAGAACTTCACCCATGGTATACCGTCCCGTCTCCCCATATAATTAACCCCGTCATGTGAAACTAAACATCATTTTGTTATTTTTTTAACAATATTTTTATTTAAAAGACATATAATTGAAGTCAATTTAAAAGTTTGTTTTTAAATAGTTTCATAATAAATATATTTTTAATTTTTATGGAATTCAAATATCATTAATATTATCAACTTTTTTTTTTAATTTTGTGTATATCAAAACTATATTATTGTATTTATGTAAATTCTAACCCGCTCCATCATATGATCTTTTTTTGGTGTGACGCTCCATCATATGATTTATGATCATTAAAAAATTTAGCAAGTTAAAAATATTTATAATCAAAAAGTTATATTATTCACAATAAAACAAAAAGCTTAAAATAATCAAAAGCTAAAAATTTGATTATTCTAAAGTGACAAACCGTATAGAGCTTCTTCATCTCACATCTTCTTTATCAAACACAATCTCTTATAATATATCACATGAATCCTAAAAAGTGTTATCAAATCCAAATTAGGATCAAATTGAAAAAACAATATACAAACCAAATATTGAAAAGGGGAAAAGGATAACTTGATATAAAAATTACAATTTGGCTATGTGAAAATTTCTCTAATACTACTACTAATTAAACACTAAATATTATGACGATGGTTGATTATTCCTCCTCTTCCTCCTGTCAACCACATGACCACAACACTCACGTTATCGAAGGTCGGTCTTGCTAGAGCCAACTTCGTTAATAGCAACGAAGCATCAGAGCAAGCATTGTGTGTCGCTGCTGCAACGGAATCATCACCATCCGCTCTACCAGTACCTCGAGGGCACACGCGAGCCATGCCATAACGCCGTCTCATTTGGTACAACGTCCCATAGTCCATCACTCGCCAAGATCAAACACTCGTCGTCGTCGGTTCCATCTGTCACTATTACTTTCGGATCCGTCGTCGTTGTCATTTGGTTTCAAGTAAATATGGCCTATGTAAACAAAAACAAAAATCAACAGTTTTAATTCAAACATGTTATTAAAATAGCTTTACGAATTCGAATCACAAAGATATATTCACTCATCAATTGCTCTAGACATGTCAAGAACTCCAAGAACCTTAGCTACATCCCAATAATAACCCGCCCACCTGCTTGCTAGATCTGAATCAATTCATCAGGTCGATCCGGCTGTTCATCACTACACAAAACCACAAAAACTCTTAGAATCATACGATCTTGATTGATACTAACCAATTCTTGATTATATATAGCTTTGTTTTTAAAACCTTGTGATCCACGGAGAGAGGACTGGCTACGCCGTCACGGCAAAGCACATCACGTGAATCGCCGCATTTGGAAACAATGGTCTTCTCCGGCGTGACAACAGAGACGACGGCGGTGGATTCGTTCCTTGACATTCTTCAAGTTAGAGAATATGAAGAAATGATAGAGAGGTAACTCTATGATTAAAATATGTTACCATGGTCTAAGATTTAATGGATTAGAGATGAGATGTATACCTCGGAAGTGACATAGGGGCCAACACGGCGAAACATGACAAATTCAACCCGTAAGTGACATAGACCAATGAAAATCTGCATTAGACATAACAAATCCAATCATTATTCAATACCAAAATAATCTTTGTATGGTTATAATCACAAAAACAAAACAGAAAATATGAAAGTTCTTATTGCAATGTAACTCCATTCTGTATTCACCTAGAATCTGACAGAAGTCAAGCTTCTCTTCCTCTGTGTTGCACCAACTCGGTAGCCGAGTCTGGTTAGACTCAAATAACTTCGGAGTGTATGCATCTCAGATCTGAGAATAGGAAAGAAATAAACGCTCAAGAGTGATGTTAAATGGAAAGACTTGATATCGAAAGAAGAAAAGAAACGCACAGTGAATTCAGTGACTTGAATGTGATTAGCGAGAGGGCCGAATACACCAGCGGCTTTGTACATTGCAAGGATGAAAGCAACACATGTTGTTGATTTCCCGTCACTATAAACCCATTCATCCTGTTCAGGGATGGTGAGTAATTCATCGAATGACATTCCACGCCTTGCTGTTTCTTCAAGTATCCCACACAAATCAAGATCCTGTACAATAGAAACTTAGTAATGTATGTCCCAATCCAGTAGAAACTGGTTTTTGTTAAGAAGAATGTATAGATATTATACCTCAGTACCGAGTCGGTTATTCTACTCGTAGATGATGCTGTAGATAAAGTGGACATTGTAACTTATTAGTTTTCACTACTATTAGTAAAACGTAGGGAAAAGAGGATAGTGAGATTAACGAAAAACGTTCAAAACAGTCAAATCATTAGATCTATAGTTAGGAGTAGATACCTCCTTATTTTAAGTCTTGAATCTGTAGTTAAAAACAAAGAATAGTTAGTAAGATATAGTATATCACTTCTGAATCTCATTATTTCTCACTTAATTATAAGAAACACTACAATTAAATCATTATAAGAAGAAGATTTTGTATACTTGAACATTGCTCATCAAATGAACGTTCTAGAGTGTTGATACACATTGAGAGAGTCTCTTCATATCTTTCACCGATTTTTTTTTCCCACATATGATAGCATGCCTGTGAGAAAACACAACCTTAGTTCCACAATAATTGTCAATTCAAAAAAATAAAAATAATTAGAAACAACTTGATACCACACGTTTCCACATGGATGTGCCAACTTATATTGAAAGGCTCAATGTTGTTAAGGTACGTGAATCCAACACGTTTAGGTTATTGAGAATTGTAGAAATGGGATGATGTATTTATAGTCAAGAAGATCGGCTTATGCAGTGTTACTTTTAGGTTAAATATGAATAAATGTATACATAATCTTTCAAGTATACAATATTTAGTTTCTGTTTTAAGAATATTCTCCCATAAATTTCGAATATCTCAAATCTTTCATTCAGTGAACATATAAAAGATTTCAAATCACCATTCCTTAATTTTTGATTTGATAGGATTACGTTCCTGATTTCGTGCGGTTACAGTTAATGATTTCGATATTAGGAAAAACGAAGCTTATTGTTATTCGTAATATTTTGTTGATTATTTGTTTATTTGGTAGTTGCTTAATATATGAGATATGAATTTAAATTTCGAATATTTATTTTATTAGATATCGAGTAGTTATGGTAAGTACGTAAAATCAGGGCGTATATTAACTTCCGATTTCCTAATAATAGTTTTTTTTAATATTTATTTATTTATTTTGTCTCCGAAGGAAATAGCCAATCAGCAATCAAATTCAATGTTGCCTCCTTAGTCTCTTCGTTTGTAAAAATGTAAGAATTTGTCAACAAAATCTTTGGAAACAAAGTATTTAAATGGGCCAACGTTACCTTACCTATGATTAGGGATTATTTACCAGGAAGCATTATAAAAAAATGGTAATTACGGTTTGATTAGGATTAGTTTTTGGTTAGTTATTTAAATTTCGTAGATATGCCGAGATTATTGTGATAAAGAGTTTTAATTTCGAATATTTGACTTCCATATGTTAGGATTTGATATCTCGTAACCATAAAAATAGGAAATGTTTTTCGAGTTTATTTATTGATTTGTCAATTTGATTAAGACATATATTTTTTCCAGATTTTATTTGTAGGGACTAAATGTACAATATTGAAATTGTAAAAGGATTTTTGAGGCCAAATCTTCACCAAAAATGTATATATAGATAAGGTACATCTGAAAAAAGCTTTTTAAGGTAACCTTAAAATTGGATCTGGGACAGAAAACGAGGTCTCTACATTTTCCGTCATTATCTTATTTTAGATTCTTCATCTATAAAACTCCCCACTTGCGTTGATCGTGATATCAGCAAACATTGGATCTAGATTCTCGATCTATGTCCTATAATCAGGTTTGGTGGTAAACCAAATTACCAAAGTTTACTTTTCACTATTTATTTATATCCATATACTATTCGGTTTCTTATGCAATTACATAAGGAATATCTTTAGAATGCTTTAATCGAACTGGAAATAAAACTTTACGATCATTAATGCCAAAACTTTTATAAAGGAATTAAAGAGCCCTTTTCTATTGTGATTAATAAAGATTAACCAACACACTTCGAGTTATCTTACAAGAAGTTCTTGTTTAATAGAGACACTATGGTTATGCACTTATGCCTCGAAAACCACTTCAAAGATAACAATGAACAAATAAGCCATGATTATCAAACTCAATAATGAGTTAAGTACAGAACAAACTGGCGATGACTCAATATAAATTATTGTTGCCAATAGTTCAAGACGCTCTCGAACCTTTTTCAGTGTTGATGGCTTGATGCTCATATTACCGATATAAATTTGGTCATATACATTATTGTTGCCAATAGTTCAAGACGCTCTCGAACCTTTTTCATTGTTGATGGCTTGATGCTCATATTACCGATATAAATTTGGTCATATACATGTTTAATGGACTGAATGAAAAGTATGAAAACATCATCAACGTTAAAGATCAAAGACCATCATTTGTCACTATGTCCGATATTGCTTCTGCAAGAATATCATCTTCAAAAACAACACAAAGAAAGCTTGAGTCATGCTAGTCATGCTTCATCACCAAATAATTTAGCAGTGCTACTCAAAAAAATGTTCTTCGTTAAAACAATCATTCTCAATACAACAACTATCGTGAAAGTCGAAGAAATAATTACAGAGGGAGAAACTGAGAACACCACAATAACCAGTTTAATTTTACAACAACTATTAGAAGAATGGAGAATTCAATACCATGCATATAAGAAAGAACAAGTTAAGGTTGTAAAATGAATTATGAGGAGTGTCACATTCATGGAAGTAATGAAGAAAATTTTAAATATACTCAATATAGTGGGTCCGATTGATAACACAAAGGTGTACAAAAATTTTAGCTGTAAGCTGGAACTGTAAAATTTTACGCAATAGTACAAAATTATACAAAAAAGTGGTACATGAAAGATGTACAAAAAGCTGAAAGTAACACTTTATGTAATCTATATATAATAGCAATCTAATAAATACCATTTGCACATCTGAACGGTTGCGTCTTTTTATCGTAACCTTTCGTTTAAATCGGTTATTTTTTTACGGTTATGTCTTTTTATTGAATTTTCTCTTTGAATTTTCGTTGAATTATTTACGGTTATATTTGTTCAATTACAGTCGTATCTTTTCAGTTTACAGTTATATCTTTATAGTTGCATTTATTCATTTAAAGTTACGTCTTTCCATTATATAATTTCATTGCATTTTTTGTATAATTAGTAATACTACGAAGTTTTTTTATATCAACCATTAGACTACATATCAAATTGGTTTTATTAACCAAAATAACAACATCAATAAATGCATTTTGCACTTCTGAACGGTTGTGTCTCTTTATCGTAACTTTCCGTTAAAATATTAACAGTTATTTTTTCGGGTGTGTTTTTTTATCGCAACTCTTCATTAAAATATTGACGGTTTTTTTTCGGTTGTGTCTTTTTATTACAACTTTCCGTTAAACTATTGGTTGTTACTTTATTCGTTTGTATCTTTTTATCGCAGCTTTCCGTTAAAATATTGACGGTTATTTTTTCTCGGTTGTGTCTTTTTATCGCAACTTTCCGTTAAAATGTTGACGGTTATTTTTTCTCGGTTGTGTCTTTTTATCGCAACTCTTCGTTAAAATATTGACGGTTAATTTTTTAGTTGACGGTTATTTTTCGGTTGTGTCTTTTGCTCGCAACTTTTTGTTAAAATATTAACGGTTACTTTTTTCGTTGACGGTTATTTTTTTGGTTGTGTTTTTTCTCTCAACTTTCCGTTAAAATATTGACGGTTACTTTTTTCGTTTCTGTTTTTTATCATAACTTTTTGTTAAAATATTGACGATATTTTTTTCTCGATTGTGTCTTTTTTTGTCTGTTAAAATATTGACGGTTATTTTTTTCTCGGTTGTGTCTTTTTATCGCAATTTTTTGCTAAAATATTGACAGTTATTTTTTCTCGGTTGTATCTTTTTATCGCAACTCTTCGTTAAAATATTGACGGTTACTTCTTTCGTTGACAGTTATTTTTTCGGTTGTGTCTTTTTATCGTAACTTTCCGTTAAAATATTGACGGTCATTTTTTTTGTTTGTGTCTTTCTATCGCAACTTTCCGTTAAAAGTTTGACGGTTATTTTTTCTCGGTTGTGTCTTTTTATCGCAACTCTTCGTTAAAATATTGACGGTTCTTTTTTTCGTTGACGATTATTTTTTTGGTTGTCTCTTTTTATCGCAACTTTCCGTTAAAATATTAACATTACTTTTCTCGTTTGTGTCTTTTTATCGCAACTTTTCGTTAAAATATTAACGGTTATTTTTTCTCGGTTGTATCTTTTTGTCCTAGCTCTTTGTTAAAATATTTACGGTTATAATTTTTCATTGATAGTTATTTTTTCGGTTGTGTCTTTTTATCGTAACTTTCAGTTAAAATATTGACGGTTTCTTTTTATTTTGTCTTTTTATCGTACCTTTCCGTTAAAATATCGACGGTTTCTTTTTCTCGGTTGTGTCTTTCTATCGCAACTTTCCGTTAAAATATTGACAGTTATTTTTCTCGGTTGTGTCTTTTTATCGCAACTCTTTGTTAAAATATTGACGGTTATTTTTTTCCGTTTGTGTCTTTTTATCGCAATTTTTCGTTTAAATATTGACTGTTATTTTTTCTCGGTTGTGTTTTTTTATCGCAAATCTTCGTTAAAATATTTACGGTTACATTTTTCTTTGACAGTTATTTTTTCTGATGTGTCTTTTTATCATAACTTTTCGTAAAAATGTTGACATTTACTTTTTTTTGTTGTGTCTTTTTATCGCAACTTTTCGTTAAAATATTGACGGTTATTTTTTCTCGGTTGTGTTTTTTATCGCAACTTTTCGTTAAAATATCGACGGTTATTTTTTTTCGGTTATGTCTTTTTATCGCAACTTTTCGTTAAAATATTGACGGTTACTTTTTGTGTTGACGGTTATTTTTCTGGTTGTGTTTTTATATCTTTTTGGTTTTGACCCGCTAGAATTTTTCCTCTCTATATTATAACTCTTCGTTAGTTATTTTGTCACTTATAAATAATTTTATATTCACAAAAAATGTTTCAAAAGTGTTTTTTAATCATAATTTTTTGTTTTTTTACATTTTTATTCATAATTTTTTTTAATATCTTTAGAAAATATTTACGATATAACTTTAAGACATAGTTAATTTTATATAATAATTCAATTATTTGAATATATTATAATAATAATTTAATACATAAACGTAATAAAATATATTTGTTGAAAATGAGTTCCCCGCGATATCGCGGGGTTCATAACCTAGTATTTTTAATATCATTCTTGTTATTGGTGGCTGTTAAAACGGTACATCTTGTACCACAGCGGTAGAAAGTTACCATTCAAACCCAATAAGTGAAACAAAAACTCATATATTAAACGGTATTCTTGATTACATAGAAGCTTCCAAATTTCTGAACGGAGCCAATATGAACTTTCATCGGCCAGATTTATCTATCCTTAAAAAAAACTTTTTTTACTCAACCACCAAGGATTGAAGTTGGAAGATAATATATATTAGTCTAAAAAATATCCCATGTCCGACTTTTTAAACCTCAAAAATATCAAAACCGGAGAAAAGATGATACCACAAAATATTAAAATAATTAGTGGAAGAGAAATCATCGGACAACAGTGCAAGTACAGCACCAGCTCTGCCAAAAAGCCAAAACCATTTTTCAATTACAGAAAGATACTATTGTTGAAATTACCAAAGTACCCCTCAGACTTTACAAAAGCATCTCTAAACTTATCCACGTGTCAGTCATCTATTGATTGCTTGAATACCACCTTGTATTTACGCCCCACGATTCGTGGTTGGGTACACCTGATAGTCCGAGGATATTTATAGCTCACGCGCTCGTGTCGATAATTGAGTGTACTCGCTTTTCTTGTCGCGATCTTAGCAATTTACGAAGTCAAATTTTTGACTCAATCAGACTTGCGCATAGGTAAGCGAGTATACACGTTTACTATACTCGCGAAAGTGAGACTTTATTGAAACTACTCTTTTGTAATAAAACCAGCAGTGGTTTTGTTCTGAATCCGCTCTCTTGCAATATATACCACAAACAGAAACCACAGAAGATATCTTTTGAGAAGAAAAAAAAAAAAAAAAAAGAAGCTTCTCCTCTTCATCTGCCTTCTTCTTTCCATTTATTGCAAAACCCTGATCAAGTAAGTCAAATCTTCACGAATAGATATGCATATAGATTCAATCCAAGAAACTAGGAGAAATCTAAAAAAGAGGACAAATCTAAGTCAAGTTTGAATTAGGAAGATATCATCTAGATTTGATCATTTTGACATTTACGATGGGTTTACTTCTTCTTAATATATTTGATGTAGTTTTTTGGGGAGAGAGATGGGGAGAGGGAAGATAGTTATAAGAAGGATCGATAACTCTACAAGTAGACAAGTGACTTTCTCCAAGAGAAGGAGTGGTTTGCTTAAGAAGGCTAAAGAGTTATCGATCCTTTGTGATGCCGAAGTTGGTGTTATCATCTTCTCTAGCACCGGAAAGCTCTACGACTACGCAAGCAATTCAAGGTTAGCTTCTTCTTTTGTATTCTTAATCTTAGTACAAGTCAATGAAGTTATTTTGCATTTGCCTTGCCTGTTAGATTCATCACTTCTCGTGATCCCAAGACATGTGTGTGTATATACAACTTGTCACTAATGATAATGTCTCATCTTTACACATTAGTTTTTGTCTCTTTTTCTTTTTCTTTGTCTAAAATTTTTAGTTTCTCAATAGGGTTATAGCACATGTTTAAATTGGGAGAGCTATTTTGGACGAATATTTGATGTTTGCTTCTTCATTTTTTGGAGTGAGAGGCATTGATTCCCTTACACATATTGATTTGAATACAGGCTATCCATGTAAAACTTGCTTAGCAGATTATGATTTGAATACTCTTATAATTAACTTTAAATTATTTTAGCCATTCGATAAGTAAATGCATGTGTATATTTGTTTGTTGGAAGTGCATCAAGATAAATGGTTACTGGTTTATGCCTTGCTAAGTCTTCAAATATAGAAAGAAAATGAACCAGTATTATAGATCAAAATTTTGATTTTTACTTCTTCATTATGTGGTGTGTATATAGACTATTGATTAGAATTTTTTGTATTCTACTCTATCTACCTTTTCACCTTTTTATTATAATCGATTTGAATACGTAATATCACATATATGTGACCATGTGCTATTTGACAATATTTGAACTTGAAGAGTTTGGTTTGTGGTTTTCTTCCATATAATATAGAAGAAAAAGCATATGATTCTGTGTTTTAATAAGTGTGTAAAAATACATTATCCCAATTCTGTATAGGCTAAAGTATGTAAACTAATGTAAGTACATAAAGAAAAGACATTCATGCGCATTTCCCTGAAATTGTGTCTAATTAAAAAAAAAATCTGATAAAATGAAACATTTATCTACTTTTACAGTGAATAAAAAAACAAGAGAAAATAAAAATTAATTTGCTTTTATTATCTGAAAAACTAAAGATGTAACAAAATTTATAAAAAATATTTCTCTAATATTTTTGCAGATAAATGAATGGAATTATATAAATGTATGTATTTTTTTCATTCTTTATTTGCTGATAATATTTCATTTGTAAAATTTAGTAGTCAAAATGTTCATGTCCAATCTAAGATAATAAGCAAGGAATGGAAGAATTCTTATCGAATTCCTTTTGCTCGGAAGCACCTTTTGGAGGAGGTCAAGGAGCTTTGATTTATCAAAATAGCGAAGCGAAACTATCGTATTGTCGCAATAACACAATAGAGTGAGAGGCAATAGAGTGAGAGGCATGGATTCCCAATCTAGATAAGGAAATATATCTAACCAATCACCCACAATGTCGGTCCAAACCGTGAACGTGTACGGACAAGGAAAGCATAAATAGTCCACTTATTTCTTTTGGGTTTAACATTCAAGCATAAAGTTAAATCAAAATCAAATAAAACCCCTCAAGAAGCATGCATCACAAATAAGTTTGTATTGAAGTCTTGATAGCATGAAGGTTAAGTTCAGCAATATAGTATTGGTTTTATAGGTAGATAGAACATAAGTCACGAAGCTCGTAAACGCAATAAACGGTCCTCTACACGGTGAAGTACGTACTAATGTTTATTGTATTTCATATATATATATAGGAACGCAGTTTCATATAAAATACATGAGAAGTTACGTCGCACCCATCTATTCGTCAGGAGATCTGTTCAATTAATTGTGTTAATACTTATAGGTTATTTAACCAAAAATCCTATATACTAATACACACACACACTCACATTATGAAGTAATACTTTTGTGTGTGTGTGTGTGTGGTTGTTTGGTAGCAACTCGCTTATTCAATAACATGGCCTTAGGTAGTTTCTTTTATGGTTCGTGTTACACTTTCATGCAGACACAAAAATATCGAAATATTTTAATAAGTCTAAAAAATAGAATGAATTTGCTAAATGGGTACGGGGAGACTTATTATATATATATAGTGGTAAAATTGTAAGTAAGTTTGATGTATTTGGGCTTGTTTGAAATATATTGTGTGATATTTATCATGTAAATGTTTTTATTTCTTGAAACACTTGCAAATTTCATGCTATTTTCCAAAATACATGCGCAACAAATGTTCTAATTTTCTTTTATCATACGTTACTTTTACAAATAAATGACCGCCGTACTTAACTTTTTGTGTTAGTAATATTTCAGATATTTCTATGTTCGAACTGTTGTTGCAGCCACGTAGGTGCTCAAACAATATAGGTAGACAAACTTCATGTGTATACTGAACTCGAATTGTAAAACTTGTATCTATCTTAAAGCATGTGCATTGGGAAGTTCATAGAGGTTCAAAATAAGAAAAAATAGATGGGAAAGGTGAGAATTGGTTCACAAATGAAAACTTTAAGAACTCTTTGAGAGACTATTTTCACACATGTCAATATGTGAATTGTTTATGTGATTGGTTTTAAGTTTGTTTATTATTATTATTATCTATATTTTAAATAAATAGTTAAATTAATTATATGTATTAAAATAATATATTTGAGATTCTCTACCAAACTAACTGCACATGCTCTTATATAATATTTGATATCGAAATTCAGAAAATAAAAATATAATTCAAACTAGAAATTGGAGTTAATTATATTACTATTGAGTTACTTTTAATATGTTAATGCATTATTAATAACATTGTTATTATTTATATCTTTCTGAACCTGAATAGTATGAAAACAATCATTGAGCGGTACAACAAAGTAAAAGAGGAGCAGCATCAACTACTGAATCATGCCTCAGAGATAAAGGTATATATTCACATTAAATATTTTTTTCTTCTCTGAATTATAATTTATCTCATTAGGATTGATAAAATAGTACTGCCTACATTCTTTTTAGGTTTTTCAAATGATTTTTTTTTTTTGGTTTTTATAATGAATAATATATCTTAATTAAAAGGAAGATTTTATAAAAATAGCTATAAACATTTATAAATATACAGAAAAGAAACTAACCAATTAATTTTTGATGTATAAGTTGATGCTTTCAAATTTGCAATTAAAAAAATTGATGCTTTCAGATGTCTCTATGCTATATATCTAAAAAAAATTAATATGATCAGTGTAACTGTTTCAAATAACTACATAAGCTCTGATTTTCTGAATACAAAAAATAGAGAATAGTCTTTATTTTATAAAATCAGTATTAAAAAGGGTTTTATGCAAAAAAATCTTCGAAGTCGCCCATTTTTGCAACTTTACCCTACACTTCCGAAAAATGAAGAATAATCTTATGAAGTCAAAAATAATACGCAATATAGCCTTTTTTTTTACTATTTTCAAGTTCTTAAAAATTTGATAAGTAATAGATCAAACCGAAGCCCTCGACACGAGGAGTAGAATTCTACATTTAGATTTTTAAAAATCAAATGTGTGATCGTGAATACGTTTACAATATATGTATAAAAGCTATATTGTGTATTATTTTTGACATCATAAGATTATTCTCCATTTTTCGGAGGTGGAAGGTAAAGTTACAAAAATGAACGACTTTGAAGGTTTTTTTGCACAAAACCCTAAAAAAAGTATAAGAAACTAAAATCTACACCAAAAACAAAAACCAAGAAAATCAAAAACTAAAAACCAAAAACTAAAATCCAAAATCCAAAAAAGCCACTAATTTGATTGTATACCTTATTTTTTATTTTATTTTTTTCACTGGAATTTTGATTTTCATTGATGGAATACAAGATGAAATACAAGGAGCCGACGATCGAAAACATGATCCCGGAAACTAAGCCGACGGATGAAAAGATATCCTCGGAAACTAAGCCCAAAAGGATGGGAAACAGACAACAACACTACAATTGAACAACAATGCCAAAACAAAGAAGGTAAAGAGGCACAAAGAACATGAAATATCACTCTAACTTAGAATCTAGCACTAAACACCTTGCCTACCATCACACCAACAAAGAGAAAAGCTTGAATTAGTGGCTAACCGATGGAGACGAGAAAATCCACGACATCGGACAGCGGCTCTTCCTTTAACAATGAAGACTACCTCACAATTTTAAGAGAACTAAAGCATCTTTACCAGCAAGTAGAGAACTATGTCGAAAGACATCAAGAACCCAAACACAACTCCTGGAAACGGCGAATTCGAAGCAAACGAAGTAACCACGAAATGTCCACGCCTAGAAAGATACCAATGCAATAAAGAGACCTCGATCAGGTCTAGACCGTAGAGACAAGGACCGAGCCCAACAATCTGCAACAAACCGAAAACTGGAGACGGCAAG